GAGCCCACCGGCTAATATGAAATGAAACTAAAAAAGAAATAAAGAGTATTAACCTGGCCTTAATTTGGCTCAAGGAAAAGCAAGTATGTAGAACACTATAAGAAAACAAGTAAGAAAGTCTAAGTTCGGGCGGAGCCGCGTCCTTCAATTTCGAAATATTGAAGTTTCAAGCATTTCTTAAATTTACCGTTATATGAGAATCGGCCGTTATTTTAGTCCGATTTCAATAATTTTCAACGTTTTGCTTACACGTGGCAAGTACAATAACCACACCGAGTTTGGTACAAATTGGTGGAACGGTTACCGATATACTTATATGTGATCATAAGTGGGCGGTGCCACGCCCATTTTCCAAAATTTTACCATAAACGTATTTCTTGGTAAAGAATTGTTGCAAGCATCAATTTTGAATAAATTAGCTTCAATATTTAATGATTTATCGAAGATTTTGTATTTCTCTAAATTACCGTTATATGAGATGTGGGCGTGGTTATTGTCCGATTTTAAAAAGTTTCGGCGGTTTTTTATGCTGTACCAAGGCCAACAACTGTGCCAAGTTTGGAAGAAATTGGTGCAGCGGTTACCAAGATATACACATGTAACCATAAGTGGGCGTGGCTACGCCCATTTTCCAAAAATTTATAATATTCTTATTTTTCGTCTAAAAATTATTGTAAATATCAATTTTGAGTGAATTATCTTCAGTAGTTACTAAAATATCGCAGTTTTCGTATTTCTGGAAATTACCGTTATATGGGAAGTGGGCGTGGTTAAAGTCCGATTTCACCCATTTTCAATACCAACCTACCTTGGATTAAGGGAAACCTACATACCAAATTTCGTTGAGATATCTCAATTTTTGCTCGAGTTATCGTGTACACGGACAGACGGACAGACAGACATGGCTTAATCGATTTCTTTTTTCATCCTGATCATTTATGTATACATTTGTCTATATCTATCTCGATTCGTTTTGGCTGTTACAAACAACCGTTATGTGAACAAAATTAATATACCCTTGTGCACAGTGCGCTCGGGTATAAAAATGCACAAAACTATTGCCTGAAGGTGTCAAAACACAAACCTATTAAAACAGTAAAAGTCGAATATCTTTATGTAAACACATATCGGACACCGTCACGTTTGTTAGAAATTAATATATTAAATTAAATTAAATAATTTCAAAAATGCTAAATTTTGAGTTGTGCCTCTTTTGAAGATAGTGTGCGATATGAGCAGTAGAAATCGTATTTAAAACGTTTTGGTTATGAGATTACTATGCATACATACATTCATATCTACGAAAGCAATAAATGTGCTAAAGATAATATAACAAGTTAATAGCTGCATACATACATATGTATTTTGAAAAGTTAATAAAATTGTCTTTAGATACAACTTTTTTGCAAATCCATGAAGTAAAATTTTTCAAATGTTTGTCAGACCCTCTGTTTTTTCGCATCGCACATGATTCTTATACTAACAAGCATCATTAATTTACCTAATTTATTTATGCTTCCTTATGACGATAGGCATGTGCTAATGCATCGAGACGCTTTCAGAAACACGAAATTACAATATCGCTAAAAATCTCATTAAGTTATGTTCTATTTCTGCTTTTGTCACCATCCACTAATGTTTTCTGCTGCATTATGTTTGGCTTAACAGATTCATATATGCTTGAGATCAGACATCGTCGAAAAGACCCCGGGGAGGTGATCCTATACGCTTTTCAGTATCGTCTCCATAATCGTCGAAGGTGACGCCACTATTACCGAGGTCGCTAGTGCCTTTAAAGCCAACCTCCACATTTTTGCTGACACCAAAGCGTTC